TCACGGCATGGGAGGCAATGTATGCCAAGATTGCTGTCGAACTTGCAGAGGTTGCCACATATGTATTTTTATCGGGTTGGATCCCCTTGCTCTGTTGTCACTCGGTTGTATGTCAAAAATCACCTTGTGATGCTACAAACCTGACCAATTGGAGGTGAATTTTCTAGTCACCTTGCTTGCTTCAGCCTCTTTGGCCTTTCTTAAAATGAGGTCCCTCTATTGGAATCTTTTTGGTTAGGAGTGCTTATTTATGTATTCATTGGCATGAGGCTTCTGGTGGGTAGCGGTTTTTTATTGTCATCCCTTCAGCAAATCATGTTTGACGGTCATAATATCTGCATTCTGGTCATATGACATCCACGGTCCTTTCGGTTTGGTTATAGAGTTCAACAAACATAATAGCATTGGCTCCAAATGCTTTAGTAAAATGGTTCTTGATTATAGTTGATGGAATGGTCTAGGTTGTCCATAAGATGGCTGGAAGCTTTGCTATCTAGACCCCCTTTCTAGTGTCTGAAAAGGTTCTTCAAAAATTGATGATGTTTTTGTTTGTGACTTTGATATGTTCATGCATCTATGAGGGGCTAATAGAGGAAAACTTCAATTTGATGTCTCGATTTTTATAGAATCCAATAATCTTCTTGTTATTAAATCGAATGACATTGTCAGTGATGTAGCAAGATGGAGCTTGAACCTAATAAAGACTTCTAACCACTGGAATGGACCTGACAAGCTTGCTATTTTTTGTAGAAAATTTTGACATGTTTTTTTATGGTTGGCCATAGATAGAATGCATTCTTGGCTAAGACGACTTCTGCTGAGTGGTCTCACTATATCGAGTGAATCTCTTCTAACACTTACATTTATTATTCTGCAGCACAAGGAGATTCTCAAGAATCTCTTTCAAGAAAGGATATTGTTTATCAAAAAATTCTTGGCTGCTTGAAATTTGATCTATCTTTTTTTACATCTAGACGCCAAAGTCCTATACATCAGATAGAACTTAATTTCATCCATCCATCTCAATGATTCCTTCAACCGATTCATCTTAGGTTTGTCGATTGACAAGTAGGTAAATTCTTTCCTGGTTGCTTAGGGTTATCATATTTGGCCAGCTAGTTTATTGTATGGTTTTCTACTGGTGGTTCTTGCTAGGTTTTGAATCGAGTGACTTTCGTTAAGTCTTTAAGTTATTTTGTTAGTGTTGGGTCCCTCATTGTGTAGGGTCTACAAACTTGGTTCCCCATGAGCTACGATTCTACAGGCATCACTAGGCCTCTGATCCCTATTTTGAGATCCATCCTTTGTACAGCAAGCATCACTTCATATTTTGCTTAGTTATTTTTCTTTAATCCCAACTTGATAATTGCAGTGATGGGTACGTTTCGCGGACTGGTTAATAAGATTTTAACTTTTGAATAGTTTCCTTTCGATGTCCAATCAGTATTAATGGTTTATGCACCCTCTTTCTCCTTTTTTCTCTACTTGACACTTTTGCAAGGAAAATAGCCAGGATTTGTGCTTTTGTTGCAAGGCAAGTGACATAGTTAAGTTTTTTACTCAGCATAATTGACCTTTTTATTGTCTTCTGAACAATTTTGGCTTCTATAATTGTTGGCATAGAGTGGTCAACCCGAATTAGATGTACTTGGAAGTATGTTCTCAGCTTCTGGACGGACATGACAATTGTCAATGCCAACTTATCAACCAATGGGTACCTTTGCTTTAGATTGTTGATGGAGGGATGATTTAGTAGTGCATTAGTTGCTGGCAGTTTCCCTTTGTATGGAATCTCTGTCGCTTTAGGGTTCCTAATGAAAGGCAATGAGGTGAGCAATTCCTTTAGCTTTATGAACGTTGCCGCACATTTAAACTTCCTCTCAAATATCTTTATTTTCTTGATGGCTTTGAAGAGTCAAGCTCATTCTTCACTTGACAAGGAGATGAAGTGGCTAGCCCAACAAACTTTTGGTTAGTTAGCTTATGGACATTTTTATTGATCTGATTTGTTGTGCCCCCAACACTGCTTGAACCTTTTTCTAGTTTGTACGAATCTCTTTGGTGATGATGTTCTCTCAAAACAATCTTGAACTAGCTTCAAACATGCACTTCTCTTGATTCACTCTCATATTATATTCTTCGAGGGCATTGAAAGTCTTTGCCAACTCCTACAAGTGATTGGGACGACTTGCTGTGTATTAGTAGGATGTTGACGTACACTATCAGGTTTCCCCATGATATTGCCGGAACTTTTTTTCCAAGGGTCACTGGTATGTGTTTTCATGTTTTCTTTTAGCCCAAACTTATAACAAAATAACATACGTTGCATTATTGTATGATAAAGTTTATCTTTTTTGAGGCAGCCGAATTCATTTTTATCCAGTGTTGCCCCAAGTTTGCTTTCGTGAAGCTCAAGTAGGTATTATTTACCACTTAGTACACTAGTGTATCAATGTTAAGAAGTAGATGAGGATCTTTGGGGCAAGCGTCATTGAAACGAGAGTTGGAATTGTAGAATCTTGCGGTTGCGGGATCCCACTATTGCAGGATCAAACAAGGACGGGTTCCCATCACATGAGGGGTGCTGTACTGGGAGTTTTTGACTATTTTGATTGTTGGGAGTTTTTGACTATTTTGATTGTTTGGGTAATGTGGACCCTTATTCTCTTTTTTTTTTCTTTTAATTAGAGTTTAATTTAGGTATTAATATAAATATATTATGTGGAACCTAATTTGAGCTACCTTTTTCTTTGGTTTGTGTATTTGGAAAATTTATTTTTTGTTCCAAGGAGTGTTGTATATCTTCCTTGTGCTAGTGGTGTGTTTGTAGCTTGTTTGGGAATACGTGGTGGATCTCCCTCGACAATCGTGCTTCTTTGGAGCCAACCTTTTATCATTTTCTTTATTGTTTTCAGCATGGACAGCACCGAATGCATCTTTTCCCTGCCAAATGCAATTGATCTCACATATTCTCATTCCCATACTATTCCACAACCATCTCTCTACTAGATTCATCTCCTAAAAACCTTATAGGAACCTTAAAATGATGTTATTTGGTATCAAAAACCCGATAAAACTTAAATTTTAAATGATTTATTTTCCCTGCTCCTAAACCTAAAAGTCATATAACCTTACTTGATACCTCCACTAAAAATTATCCCCACATTCTCAAATTAGCTATAACCCTATAACCCTAAATTGTCATTTCAGTTTCAACCCAAATTTAATTGAAAGAACTAAATCTTATGTTGCTAAGGAGAAATCCTCAATGAGGTGTTCATGATCTTATTATTGGAGGACATGCAACAAAAAGTCCTCCAATTGCTCTAGAGGCTCACTAATTTTGAAAGAAGGTGACATGAGAAATTCATCCACAATAATAAGGGTGATTGTAATAACTGAAATTAAAGAAATAAATATTAAATAATAATGATAATAACAAATCAAATAGACATTGAAATAATCATCTTTTTAGTTACAACATAAGAGCCGTATCCCTCATTCACACCAATCGCAACCATCCAATCGGAAGGGAAGAGCATGCGAGTGAAGTAGAGGGAGCGTGAGAATCAGAGGAAGCAAAAGAACATAAGTAGAAGAAGAAGAAGAAGAAGGGAGGAGGAGAACGTTGAGAGGGAGAGAATGGTATGACTGACCTTATCATGTGAAGCTAGTGGCGTAGTGAATGGGAAGCGGTGAAGAGGATTTTATGCCCGAGTTGTTTGACAGAGAGGGAGGCTGCAGTTTAATGTGCGATTATCTTGCGAATCAGTGGAGGAAGAAGGAAAAGGCGAGGATGGTGTGTAGTATCGTGTCCTAGCCGTGTAAAAGAGAAGGAAGAAGGAGGTTGTAGCAGTGAATGCTTGTGGATTGAGTCACAACCAAAGACAAAAGAAGAAGATTTACGCCGTGCTTGCGACGGTGGAAGAAGAAGCCGCCACATGGAAGAAGAAGAAGAGGAAGGAGAAGGTGCTCGTGTGGTGCTGGGTTGGAGGAATGACCGAATGTATTAAAAGTATATCAAGTTTTTATTAAATTATTTAATTATATATATAATATTAGAAATATGTGTGTGTGTGTGTCTGTGAATATGAGTTTAATTAAATAATATGTTAATAGAAAGTTACTTGAACAGGATAAAAGCCATTACGTCTCAATTGGAAGGTATATGGTGATGCAAACTTCCATTACAAGGGAGGAGGAAGAGTTGCAGATGTGAAGTGGAGAACCAATGCCTAACGAAACCCTAATTTGCGAGTTAAGGAATTTTGATGAGGAAGTTAAGATAGAGGAAGGATTATAATGTTGGTTTGTAATAAGTAATCGTTAACTTTCTAATTAATGAATGTTAAAATGAAATAAAGAACTTTACATTTAAAGTTGAATTGGAATAATAATAGTTAATTAAATAGATAAATGATGAAAATAATAATAGAAAGCCTAGAATTAATAGGAAAGAAGATTAGCCCCGAACTTAAGTTAATTATGTTTTAATTGTTATTATAGGTCCACAAAATAGGGATTAAATTGGATTGAGGAATGTGACAATCTGACTATACTGTTGAGGTTGGTAAATGTGATTTATTTTACAATAATTTTGTTTATTTATTGTTTCTCAACTTTTATTTTAAATGCAAAAATACATGTTTTCTTTTAAATATTTAATGCAAGAAAAATGAATAAAATTGGATATATGTATGCATATGGGAGTCACTTCTAGATGGTACTGACAGGGGAATGCAATATACTCGTGCATGAAAATAATTAAACATATATATTTTTTACAGTATACGTTTAGAGAGTGACTCTCAATAATGAAAAGTATAACATAAATGAATGAAAAAAAAAGATGTTTTCTTTACTGTTTTCTTTTACTGCAGTCATTTTTTTTACTGTTTACTGCAGTTTTTACAAAATATTTTAAAACGAGAATTATTATAATCTTGAACTATTTGCCTAATGAGTAATTGAGCTCAACCCATAAGTTAACATTTTTACAGGAAAACCAGGTATAGAATAGATGGACCTCAGAGATTTTATGCACAGACACCGTGGAGCATGAGATAATAGGTATTATAGTTCAACTTTATTATTATGTTAGATGTAAAAAGTCAAATATGAATCATTTGTTGTAAAGAAAATAAATTTTATGAACTAGAATGGCTTTTTTTTTTTGTTTTAGTGGATTTTATGTAATATTGAAATAAAATTGTTAGATAGGTTTTCTCAACCCGACTGTCAGTTTTCGCCTTAGTAATTCCAAGCCCTTGGGCTGGGTCATGACAAAGTGATATTATAGACAAGGTTTAGAATTTATTAATGAAATATTGATGAAAGATTCATTGCGACAAATACAAAGAAAATAAGAATAATAAAATTGATTTTTTAAGTTAATTCTAACTAAGTACTTATGTCCATTCAGGCAAAGAGATGAACTCAAAAGTATAAAAGAGTGGACTCTGTTAGAAAATGAAGAAATATCGTCTATTGTTAATGTTAATACAAATGTTATGGCCCGAATGATGACGACGATGACTCAACGGATTCATGAGTCCAGATCGTAACTTGATACAATTATTATGGATAAGTATTTGAAGATATTTCAAGATCTGCATCCATATTTTTTCAAGGGAACTGAAGATCCAATTGAATTAGAGAATTGACTGATGAGGATAGAAAAGGTATTGGATAACATAGTGTTCCCTGATGAAAGAAAGTACCTTTAGTTACATTTATTTTGGATGGAGAAGCTAGAAGGTGTTGGCGTGGGCACACTATGCCCTACATGTTGAAAAGTTGGGAGAATTTTGTTGAGTTATTCGGAGAATGGTTTGTTCCTCTATCCTCACGAAGACAAATGCAGGAAAAGTTCATCAAGTTGATACAAGAAGATAAGTCGGTAATGCAATAGGAAGCATAGTTCACTCCATTGTCAAGGTATGCTCCACAATTGATAGCTACTGTAGAAGTGAAGTGTTACACATTCCTTTATGGATTGAAGGATTCGATCAGGCAGTCGTTGGTGCCTCTGAGGATCGATGATTATTCAGTGTTATTGGAGCGGGCTAGAATAGTGAAGATTGATTTTTAGCTCGTTTAGAAATGTAAGGAGATGCACTAGAGGAAGAATGTTGATGAAGGAGAGCAGGTGGATCGATCAGAAGGATTGAATGTGAAGAAGCCCAAATTCAATTTTGATAGATTCAATGGTGACACTTCTCGTAGTACTGTAGTCATTTGTGTCAAATGTGGACGATAGCATAAGGGTGAATGTTTGATGGACTCCAACACATGTTACTGGTATTGTCAACCTGGACACATAAAAGTATTGTCCCTCACTTGACAAGAAAACCTCAAAAACGGAAACCAGGTCAAATTCTTTACAGAAGATTGCAGGCGGGCAGAGAAGGATAGTCTATAACTTCAGTTCCTACTCAAGGTCAACCAAGACAACCAGCTCGACATCGAGTACATTCCTTTACTCATAATGAGCCTGTAGAACCTATCGATGTTGTTGATGCTACCAAGGGTTGATGAGTTTCATCTTTTATTACATGTTTTAGGAGTGGAGTGTCTTTCTAATGTGTTTTATGTTTTAGAGGTGTGTTTTTATGCTAACTTGCTTCAGATGTGATATTACACTATTTCAGTTAATGAGGATTGCGAGTTTAGCTACAGACCTTTTGTTTTATTATATCTATGTTTTATCTTGTTGAATGAGATTTAAACTTTCATGAAATTTATGGATAATTTAATTTTTTACTGCTTAATGAGAAGTGATTTGAGACTTGGAGTAGATTTACAAATTTCGAGGACAAAATTTTATAAGGGGAAATTGTAATAACTGAATTTAAATTGATAAATATTAAATAATAATGATATTAACAGATCAAATAGACACTGAGATATGTATCTTTTTAGTTACAACATAAGAGGCGTATCCCTCATTCACACCAATGCCGGAAGGGAGGGGGAGCCAGCTGGGAGGTTGTAGGAAAACAACAAGGCGAAGGGGTTTTTGGGTGGCACCCTAAACGGTATAGGATGTTTGGACAACAGTGGCAGCGGTGTAGGATGGTTGGGCAGTGGCGACAACGATGTTGCTGGTTTGGAGCTGCTGGTGTAACGAAGCAGGGGAGGAGAAGGCAATGTCGATAGTTGAAACTGCAGAAAACAACAACCAGAATGCTATCCTGGGCGGCTGCAACAATGAAGGGAGGTCGGGTGACGTGGGGAGGATGCGGAAGGGGATACGTCTAAGAATAAGATGCAAGATAAATAATTCATTGTGTCGATGATTCTAATGAAAATCAATTTATTGATAAGAGTAATAGGAATTTTAAATTTAGACATTCAAATGTTGATGACTTATTATATTATTATTTTTTATGACTTACTATATTCTTTTTTAAGTGGGAGGCAGTATGAGTGGAAGAGAGCCTTACATTGAATTTTTTTTTTATTCTTATGCCTTGACATTTTTAGTATTTTATTTTGATTTTTTAGCTTACTTTGATAGTTTAATATTTTCATAATTCATCTTATTTCATAATGTGATGTTAAGGTCTTAAAATGTGACTTCAAACTTTACTTAATCTATTATTTTTTACTTTGAATGTTGTTATATTGCATTTAATTTGTTAATAAATTAGAATATTAATATATTATTTCTTGTTTTATATTTTATAGTTTATACAATATTTATTATTTACTCAATTTTTAAATTTATAGCTTACGCTTAGCCTCATGAATGAAGAACGCCATAACACCCAATTGCCCAATTTTAAACATTGATGTTACATGTTTATTATTTCTATCCTTGGAAAGTTAAAGTTGCTATATTATGGTTTCTTAAGATTCCAATAGTTTTCTATAGTAGAACCTTAGCTTTAAATATGTAGCAGCTGAAAAGAAATGTTCAAGGATAAGACTTCACTTTGAAACTGAGAGATTTGGGAAAGTGCTCTGCTGTAAAACTGTGTTAAATGCCATTTTTGACAATTCTACCAAGTCTAGGTCTTGTTTTAATGACGACATAGGAGAATTTATAATAGTTAATTTCATAATTGAGTAATATTTTTCGTTCATTTTTGTGTGCGTTTTCAGGTGAAAATGTTTGTGGGAGCATTATTCGTCTTGAGATAATGCCATCATCATCTGAAGTATTATAGCATTGAAAACAAAAAATTGTCATGTGCACTGAATGGAAATGAAAACTCCACAGGTAATGATACCTCATGGTTACTTAGCTTGTTTTGTGTGTATATTTTCTTGACATTTCTTCTAGCTATTTAACAAGCAACCTGTCATAAAAAACTCCATAGTAAACATACTACCCAATTCCTATGTATTTACACGTGTAGCAGCTATTCTTTATTTTATACCACTCAAATCTTTCCTATCACGTCAAAAGTACCACTATTTTGATGTAAATGCCTCTACAATAAATTGATTTTCTCTAAAACTTGTTGGGGATTTGTTGTCTTACTCAGCTATGAGGTTCTCCCTTCCTCTCTCTCACTCGCTCTCATTTCACTTCATATGAAGTGTTTATCCTCCTGATACTCTTGACCTCCTTTTCATTAACTCCTTGGTTCTTATTGTACGTCGTATTCTCTTACTTTCATCCGTCAAATTGTCAAAATTCCATCACGATTTTCACTTTCGCTTTGCCCCCATGCTTGCAATATTATATCAGGGAACGAAGGATGCGATAAGTTATTGATAATAAACGTTGGCGGGTTAAATTAAAGAATAATGTGCATAAAACTTCATCATCTTCTTTTCATCATTTTTTATGTTGTATGACTGGCACCCTTTACAGTTTTAGTCCATGAATTTCTTTGTTTTTTTACAGGATTCTCCATGTGCCGCAGAAGTTCAACCACCTTCACAAGAATCTCAAGGTAACAGACAGAATAATGGAGGTGGTGATGCTCCTGCAGCAGAATCTACTTTGACTGCAAACGGAGATAACAAGAAAGTTTCTCGTGAAGATATCGAATTTGTAAGAGTTCTTTCTAGTGCTAATTAAATTTTAGGAAGGTTTACATGCATACCAATCAATTCCTATGTGTTTATCTGACACCTAAACTTCAATTTTTATATACATGCCACCTTACCCATGGATGAAAAGTTACATTTCATTTTCTTAGAGGTTAAAATGGTAATATTTTTGTTGTGATATAAAAGATTAGGGTGGTATGAATGTAAAAAGTAATTAGATATGCAAATATATGGGAATTGGGTGGTATTTATGTATGTACCCAAAATTTTATTGAATTTGTGTTTTTTTGGTGCCAATTAAATTTTAGGGGCAGTTATACATGCTACACAATTCTTATTTATTTACATGTCCAACATCTACAACAACAACAACAACAAAACCTTAATCCCACTACGTGGAGTCGGCTACAGTCGGCTACAGAGTCGGCTACATGAATCATTTTTCTCCATTGCGTCCTATTTAGTGTCATATTTTCATCTAGTTCTAGTAAATTAAGATCATTTTTAATACAATAAGCCCAAGTCTTCCTAGGCCTACCTCTGCTTTTCTTAACACAAGTCAAATCTAAAACATCTACTCTCCTAATCGGATCATCAGATGGTCGACGTTTAATGTGACCAAACCATCTAAGACGACTTTATCTAATTTTGTCTGTCACAGGAGCTACACCTAACCCTATCACATATATATTCATTTCGCATTTTTTTCTTTAAGTGTAAAGTCACTCATCCACCTAATCATTCTCGTCTCGGGAACACAACTTATTATTATGCTTCTCTTTTAACGGCCAACATTCAGCGCCATATAGCATTGCAGGTCTCATTACCGTCTTATAAAATTTTCCTTTCAGTCTAAGCTGTACTTTTTTATCACACAAAAGGCCCGAAGCATTCCTCCACTTCAACCAACCAACTTGAAGTCTACTATTTACATGTCCAACATATAAACTTGCATATTTATATCCATTATTATCACATAAAAAATATCACTATTATATACTTTTTTAAAGTGAAGTACACTTTCATGCATAGGTTTATAAAATCAAGGTATTATAAATATAAATATTAAAGTATAGGTGTTTGATATGTAAATGCATAAGAATTGTATGGTTTATATGCAGATCTTCCTAAATTTTATCAAAACTACAGAGTCAATATTGTTTCCTTTAAAGTTTTTTTATTATTATTTTTTTTTGGGTACTGTTTCCTTTAAAGTTGCATTTCAATATTCTACTCCATCACTTGCTGTTATTTCTGCAGGTTCAGAATCTGATAGAACGTTGTTTACAGCTTTATATGAATAGAGGCGAAGTAGTTAGAACTCTGTCTAATCGTGCCAGAATTGAGCCAGGCTTTACCAGCCTAGGTGAGATGATCATCTTTGTAGTAGTTTTTTTATTCTATCTATTGACTCAATTTTAGCATATTGCAACTAGTTCCTGCTATTATTTTTAATTTAGCATTCTTATTTTATCTATAATATTGACTAGAGATGTTTTTTTTTTTTTTAATCTACATGTTTATTCCAAATGGAACTTCACTTTAGCATTCACGTTGGAATTTGCTTGATGTATTGCTGCCCAACTATTTGTGAACCGATATGCCTTTAATTGAAATTTACTTTTGATGCGAGGCTGAGAGGTCTGCTAGCTGAAATAACCGGTTGGTAGATGGACTGGCAACACTGGTCTATAGAAGCTCCGGTCCAGGCTCAAAAGGGGCGACAATACCGCCAGACCCTTCTCCCACTTCCCTTTTTTTGTTTTCTTTCTATTGGAGCCTTCCTTTTTATTATTTCCCTATTGGAGCCTTCCTCTTCTGTTATTTCCCTATTGGAGTCTTTTTAAGTGTTGTTTTCTGGAATTAGGGTTAGATTTTGGTTGTTTGCTGATTTTAGAGTTCTCATTGGAGTCTCCTTCTCCCTTACTAGGGTTGTATATGTCAACGGGTAGTACTTTGGCTGAACCCTGCTCCGGGGTGGTGTTGTATCTTCCCCTATCTTCTTTTCTACCCTTTCTCCTTTCTCTTCCATAGCCGTCAACCATCCCTAGGTCTTCTTATTGATTAGCCGCCCCTTTCCCCCGCCTCAGGTTTATTGTCCAATCCAATCCAGCCGCCAAAACGCCCTTGCCGCCTCTGTCCCTGCAGCAGCTCCTACTGTTCCCCTCTCCAGCCATTACCCCACATCCAGCCGGCCCTTACAAACAATTGTTCCGACTGTCCAGTCCATCCCACCAACACCCAACACCTCTTCCCTTCCTTCACCGCCACCTGCCCTATTGCCCCACTTTTTAAGCCCTCAAAACTCTCCTTAAGTCTTTTTCCAATAAACCATACAACCACCTATCCCACCCCTTCCCTCTACCACCTCGCTAATGCCACCGCCATCCTCGGGTTTTCTCTTTCGGTCCTAGCCAGAAAGTGTTATTGGTTTGTCATGCTTGCCCTTCTAGTTTGTGTCGTGTTGTAATCCTAATTCAGTGCTTATACAAGTTTGCTTTCGTTCCTGTTAATTTTTGAACTAGTTCCGGTATCAAATAGTATCAGAGCTAGCCAAACCCTAGTACTATCCTAGGGTTTACTAGTATCTGCCATAAACCAAAAAATTTTTTCTTAACACCATATACCCTTTCTACTTCACAAATCCCAACCCTTACCATGCCACCAAGAGGATATATGCCCGAGCTTACCCAGGAAGAGATACGACGAGACTCCATTGCCTTCAACAGAGGGTTGCGGAGATTGATCAGATAGAAGACTTGGGGGGGGGAGGGTTGGTGGTTATCCTCGACTAATATCTGGAGAGTTGAAGAGGAGAAAGAGAGGAGGTTCTGAATCCCTTTCATAGGAAGTATTTCATCGATGAAGAAGACAAGCCACGATAATTCAGAATCTAGTTTTGGAGGAGGCCTAGAGAAAGATACCAAATCCCTTCTATAGGGAGAATTTTAGAAAGGAGATATCATTTGGAGAACACAGAGACTTCGACATCAAAGTAGATCTGCAAGAGTTTGATGGATGTATGGATCTAGAAGACTTTATGATGAAAGAACCTACAGAGAGAGGGAAAGGGAAGACATTGATAAGATTATCAAGTGGGAGAAGATTAAGAAAACAATGCAGAGGAAATACCTCCCACCCCATTATCGCCAGGATATGTTTTTTGAGGCTCCACCACCTACAACAGTGAGATCTATCAGTAGAGGAGTTTATAAAGCAATTTGATCAGTTGCAGATGAGGTGTGATTTGGTCAAGCCAGAGGAGCATATCATAGCCCGTTATCTGGGGGGCATGAGACTAGCTATTAGCAACGTGGTGAAGCTGCAACCTTATTCGTCACTTGAAGATGCTTAAACTCTAGCCCTGAAGGTGGAAAGACAATAGGAGCAAAGCTGACAACAGTCATCCTTTAGGCAACATCCTTCAGTCAAACAGTCACCTATATCTACCACAACCGAGTAGGGTATCTTGTGAGGAACTAGCAAAGCCCGGTCAAGGAAGTGACAAGCCGGTTCAGAGTGAGAAGAACAGAGAAAAAAGCAGTTCCTCAAATACAGTACCAGCCAGGAAGCGTTTCAGGTGTCACGACTATGACCACATAGCCTCCAGCTGTCCCACGAGCCGAGTAGTCACCCTCTGTCTCTCACTGATAAGGGCGTCGTGGTGGAAGTTAGCAACGAGGAGATAGCTGAAGACCAGGGCAAGGTGTATCATCTTTCACTAGATGAAGGAGAAGCGGTCGTAGTTTGACGGGTCCTATAGACCGATATTGATATGAGGGGTTCGCAGTGGCTTTGTTATAATACATTCTACACCTAGTGCACCTTAAACAAAAGTGTACGCAACCTCATCATCGATGGAGGGAGCAGTAAGAACGTGACGTCTATACTGATGATTGATAAATTGCGCCTCACGACTTTAGAGACATTCCTAGCGTATCCACTGACTTGGCCGAAGGAGAATCGGGCCATCATCAACCAGAGATGCTCAGTAGAGTTTTTGACTTAGAGTCAGCTATAGGACCGGGTGTGGTGCGACGTAATCTCTATGGATATTTATCACATTTTGTTGGGGAGACTGTGTCAGTTTGACAAGAGGACTCAACATGATTGATTCAAGAACACACATTCCTTCACCAATGATGGGTGGCACATCATTATACTTTCTTCGGCGGAACCTGAGTTGCCAGCTGTGCAGCATCAGTGGGATCAGTTTTGGTGACAAGGGATGATAGGATCGAGGCACTAGTTCCAAACATGGGACATGCATGACGGAATACATTTCAGGATGTCATGATCGATATCTTACCGCCAGCGCCACTACCAGGCGGGAAGGCTCTGGTCACCCCAATTCTTATTTGGTTACATCGAATGTGGATTACTTTGGGAGTATTCAACAACAGAGGCATAATATGCAGACTCAGTTTAGTTCAGTAACAGGCTCATAAAAGATTTTACTGATGTGGACGTTTTGCTTGTAAGTGGGGGGAGACCATCAGGTGTCTTGGAGGGCGATACAATTTTCGATGGGATCCAAGTGCTGCTAGGATTGCGGACGAAAAATCAGAAGCTTTGACAAATGAGGTCGAAGCTCCCTCAACCCCGGGAGCTTGACGCGGGGCTGAGAAACCAACCAACTAAACCGGCTGGCAGATAAACTGACAGCATCGGTCAAGGCCCCATCTGGATGGGGTGTCAATTAAAAATGATGACACTTGTCACACTTTCTTTTTCTATTATTTCCCTATTGGAGTCTTTCTTTTCTGTTATTTTCCTATTGGAGCCTTTCTTTTTCTGTTATTTCTCTATTGGAGTATTTTAAGTGTTGTTTTTTAGAACTAGGGTTAGATTTTTTTGTTTTCTGATTTCAGAGTTCTCCTTGGAGTCTCCTTCTCCCTTGCTAGGGTTGTATTCGATGAAGGGTGGTGCTTCGACTGTATTTTGCTTCGAGGTGGTGTTGTATCCTCCCCTTTCTTTTTTCATACCCTTTCTCCATTCTCTACCGTAGCCGTTGACCACCTCTTACCCTTCCTATTGATCAGCCGCCCCCTTTCCCTTCCTCAGGTTTGCTATCCATCCCAATCCAACTGCCAAATTGCCCTTGCCATCTGTTCCTGCAGTAGCTCCTGCCGTTCCCTTCTCCAGCCGCAACAATAAGTCCAGTGGCCCTTACAAATAGCTGTTCCGCCTGTCCAAGTCATTCCACCAGCACCCAACACCTCTTCCCTTCCTTCTCTGCCACCTATCCTGCCGCCCCTCTCCTTCAACCCTCAAACCGTCTCCTAAGTTATTTTTTCCAATATTCCATACAACCGCCAATCCCTCCCCTTCTGCTCAAATTGACAAACAAAAATATGTATGCTACAAGAATTAGCAGCTTAATCCACTTAAGATCTTGCACTCTTACTTTTTTTTTTCTTTTTCCTCATTTTTTTTCTCCATTGGTTGTTATATTAAATCCTCATTTCATTGTCATTTTTTTCATATTATCAATACACATTAAATGTTTTCTTGCAAAATTATTTTTTTTTATTCTTAGAGAAGGTATGTTTTATTATTCTTAGACAAGATACGGATAAATGAGATACAGAAATTGAAAACAAAATTGATGTTTAACATCTTGGAATTTTGGAATTTTTTCTAATTTCATTTTCCCTTTTTTATCTCAGTATGGCAGAAGCTTGAAGAAGAGAACTCAGAATTTTTCAGGGCTTACTATACCAGGCTGAAGCTGAAAAAACAGATTATCATGTTCAATCAGTTATTAGAGCATCAGTACCATCTAATGAATTATCCTGTTCCAGCTAAGGTTCCTATTGCACCTTTACAAAATGGAATTCATCATATGCCCGGTAAGCAGTGTTGGAGCTAAGGGGTGGCTGGGGGAGGCACTCTCCATCCCTGGATTTTTACTGAACTCTTAATATTATATAATGCACTAAAATTTTTACTCTAAATTTAAATACTTGATAACAAATTACTATTAAATATATTTTTAATATAATAATTATATTTCTCATAGTTTTAAAATACTCAAAGAGAAGGAAGTTTTAAACTTGAATATTCGCCCCACTTTGATTTTTTTCTCACTACTCTTCTTATGTTTTTGATTCTGCGGTTGCTGGTAAGTTTTTTTAAGTTCATTTACTAGCATGATGTTGACCATTTGTGAAATGCTTCATTATTCTACCAGTAGTCTCTTTGAGTAGCTATGGGCTCTGCGAACATAAGAAAGCAAAAATTGCTTGGCTTGGCAAATATATTTTTGTTTCTTACATATTCAAAATCATGCTTTGTTATTCTTTCAAGTAACTTAGCATGTTGTTGAGCTAGCTTGATTTGATCGAGGTTCAACACAATTGGACTTTCATCCAAATTGGTTCTGGCTTGTTGTTTACCTCATTTAGTCTCGTTCCGAGCGTAGTCAAAGCAAAAACTCCCACAAATTTCTGGCAATTTTTGAGACAAGCAAACAATTTTATTCTCCATAGAAATTATCTTTTTTTTTTTAATTTCCGTAAAAATTATCTTATGTACCTTAATATTCATGTTCAACTGCAACTAATCTTGCCTCATTGCATATTATGATTCTTATTCAAAGTATACCTATTCGCAGTGCAGTCAACAATCTCCCTATGAGGTATCCTTTGATCCCGCAGCCTCAAATGTCAACTGGTCAACCACACCTTGATCCTGTAGGTTGTGGACTATCTAGCTGTCATTTAGTCAATGGAATCCCCGCGCCAAGCAGCTTTCAGCCCATTCGAATGAATTCTGTGAATGAGTAAGTTATTTTCTTCATCCTATTTTTGTTTTGGCATAAAAAGTGTAATTATGCCGTTTTTAATTTGGGCATCTACATATATAGAAACAAGTCTTCTTTATCTATAGATCCAATACATAAACATTCATATTTACACGCATACCACTCAAATTCTTAACAACACATCAAATTATTACCACCATCATCTTTGTAAAAGTGAAATACATTTTTTCATATGTATTTTTTTTGGCATCAAGGCATTAGATATGTAAATACATAAAAATTGTACTTTATGGTAAATTCATAAAAATTAAAGTACACTTTTTCATGCATACATTATGTGACATATGTACAAATAGAAGTTTAGTTGTTAGATATGTACAAATGTAAATCTTCCTTCCCTTATTCATCTATATTGTGGAAAATATTTTTCAGCCACATCAAGAACACTGGTCTGGTTATATCCCTTCTTTGTTGGTTCTTTTTGGGAAGGAATAAGGTATCTGCTTTGTTGTAGCTATCTTATTGATCTTCAATGATTAGAGAACTATCTGCTTGCTTTTTTTAAGTAGAAACTCAAACGACCACATGCAAAATATCTGTGCCCAATGAAGAGTTAGTTTCTGTAATTTTTTTTAATAGTGTGTTTATTAATGCTCTGCTTGATTTGAAGGAACTGAAAGAGAAGAGATGAAGAGTAAATAGAAATAGAAACTGTCAAGGGATTGAATTGAGGTTGGTTTCAATCTACTAGTTTGATTGAGGATAAATTGCATCCAAAAGTTTTTTCTTTCTTTTTTTCATTTGGTTTTCAAGAATGACAGATAAAATGAAGAGTGGATATAGAGATTAATGTTATGCATTCTTCAGTTTTTCTTCGGATTTTGATTGGATCTAAGCAGAGAATCATATTGAGACATGTACATTTTTTGTTCTAATTTCCTTGGTAAAATCAAATTCTTTTGAATTGCACCTAAAATCAAATTCAGATGGTCAACGTTTAATGTGACTAAACCTATCTAAGACGGCTCTCTAATTTTGTCCGCCACAGGAGCTACATTAACCCTATCATGGATATATTCATTTTGCATTTTTGTCTCTAAGTGTCAAGCCGCTCATCCTCCTAAGCATTCTCATTTCGGCAAAACCTAACTTAATTTTATGCTTCTCTTTCAAAGGCCAACATTCTGTGCCATAGAGCATTGTAGGTCTCACCACCATCTTATAAAATTTTCCTTTCAGTCTAAGCGGTACTTTACTATCACACAATAGGCCTAAAGCATTCCTTGACTTCAACCAACCAACTTTAATTCTACTAATAACATCCCCATCTATATCAGCATCACTTTGAACAATAGACCCGAGATGTCTAAAGCGTTCACATCTTTTAATAATTTGATCATTCATAGTTACAACTTTGACACTAGAGCTACTACTAAAATTACATTCAATGTATTAAGTTTTAGTTCTACTCAAACGAAGGCCTTTAGACTCCAATGTAGTCCTCCATAATTCAAGTTTTTAATGAGCTCTTTCTCTAGTCTTATCCACAAGAAGGATATCATCAGCGAAAAGTGCACATCAAGGTACATCCTTCTGTAAATGTCCCGTAAGAGCATCCATAACTAAAGCAACAATACGTGGGCTTAAAGCCGATTTATTATGTAATCCAATTGAAAGAGGAAAATATTTGGCCAATCTTCTTTTTGCTTCGAACACAAGTAACAACTCTAGTATACATATCTTTAATGACTTGAATATAAGTAAAATCAACACCTATCTTCTCTAGAACTCTCCAAAGGATATCTCTGGAACGCTATCATAAGCTTTTCTAAATCAATAAAAGTCATATGTAGATCCTCTTTATTCCCTTTGTACTTCTCCATCAAACCTCTCAATAAATGTATAAGCTTCCATAGTAGACCTGCCCGACATAAATCCAAACTGATTATGAGAAATCTTTGTAATATGTTTTAACTTATGTTCAATTACCTCTCCCATAATATTAAAGTATGACACGCCGACTTAATTCCACTCTTATTTGGACACTCTTGTGCATCCCCTTTATTCTTGAAAATGGAGACCAAAATACTTTTCCTCTACTTCCCAGACATCTTTTTAGTTTTTAAAATAATATTGAAGCGTTTAGTAAGTCAAGAAACACGCCATCTCAATTAATTAAAATTCAAGTTCAAGTTGAACGGATCAATTTTTCTGTCAGGTCCAAAATCCTAACAAATTTAATTTTTATGAGGTTAGTTTTGGGTTGATTCACAACCCGAAATTGACCTCATAACTCAAAATTAACCCAAATCTAACATGTAAACTCAAAATTGTCCCAAATTTGACCCAAATAATTATGATACATGTATTAAATGGGTTACATGGGTCGGGTTCGGATCAGTCGTATTGAAGGCCGATCGATTTCGGGTTAGTCTTTCTGTCCCATTTCATATTGTGGCCTATATCGGGTCATGTAGTTTTAGGTTACATCTATTTCGGGTCAGACTCAAACCCGACCTGTGAACCCGATTTGACACCCCTATATGTTATTCTTGCATATTACGTACTGTTTCTAGGGTTGTAAATAAGCCGAGATTGAGCGAGCACAAGCTAGGCTCTTGTTCAGCTTGTTCGAAATTGCTCGTGTTTGAAAATGGCTCATGAACCGTGTGTTCGTGTTCGGCTTGATTTAAATATTCTTTTTCGTGCTCGAAATTGACTCGTTAAAATTAATTTGAAAAAATAGATGTAGTGCGTTGGATTCAAAACTGGATCAGATTTATGCAAAAGCAAGTGTAGAACCTCATTACCACATGTGTTGTTATGATTTGAACATAAATATATATATAATATTATATAAATAATATGTATATATTATTATTATATAAATAAATATGTGATTTTTTTTTTTTGAGCTAAAACGAGTTGAACACGAGCAAACAAAAAGTTATTCATGTCGGCTCTTATACAATTCGAGCTTAAAAAATTTGTTCGTGTTCGGCTCGTTTACTTGATGAACGAGCCAAACATGAGCTATTTTAACAAACCAAACACGAGTGGTTCGCGAACAACGAGCTTTTTTTGACAGCCCTAACTGTTTTTTAATGTTCATATATTACAGCCTTTTACTTTGCATGCCTTCTTTGTGAGCCATTCTTCTGATATTATTGAAGTATTCTCATAAGCAGAAGCATAAACGATGCTGCTCCAGCTGCAGCTCTAGGCAATGTAGTGTCGAATGTCCCAGATATGGCTGTTAGCCCTGCTTCAGCAGCATCGAGCAACCACTTCCCTTTCACGCCATCTGAAATGTCAGGCATGGGCTTGGATACAGCATCTCTGGATGCAGCCTTCACGGCTGATGTCGCAACAGCTGGAGGATTACCAGATGGTGGGGTTGGGTCCTCGAGGGACTCTATCAGATCCTTGGGTCAACTATGGAACTTCAGTCTCTCAGATCTTACTGCTGATTTAACGAATTTGGAAGGTAATATTTAAAGGCATTTCTTACTTTTCTATTTCTCTATATTTATGATGAATAGTGATCTCTCTTGGTCTCGGATGAAATCAATTTTGAAGGTTTGCTCTGAGTATGCATAACTGCTAAGCTAAACTGATAATGAATTCTGAGCCGAATCATTTTTTTCTTCTCCTTCCAAATTTAGTTTAAATTGCATAAATTCATAATATTTTGGTTTCAATTATTTGAATTTGTTTGTTCTTACTCTTTTGGTTCGTAGCCTTCTCTTTTTGAGGTGCTTATAAAATGCTGTGTTGTTTGAGGAATTATGCAATACAAATATTTGAACTATCTACTCTAAGTTGATTCATATCTTTAGGCATCATAGATATGTAGATGTATCGACATGATTAAGTCCATCACTGGCAGGCACTTTGATTATAAAAAATAATAATAATAAAGAAAAATTAATAAAAAACTTCTTTGCCAAAAAAATTGATGCTGGTTTTGTGTTTACATTATCCTTGGTGAGAATAACTAGGATAGATTTCTATCATTCTATTGAAATCCTTACATATATTAGAGGTATGGGAAAGATGCATTAGTCATTTATTGCTCAACAGTCATTACATCCATGACTATTTGGAGCTTTGATCGCTATGCTTCCAATTGCTCATTATCGTATAAAAAGCATGCAAGCTACCTTAGTTCCTTGAAGAATAGACCTTTTCATGGTGTTTTTTTTTATAATCTTAGTATCACGCATGCAACACCTAGATGTTCCTCTATTGGGTTCTTCAACTATCAATTGACTACAATAGTTGTAAATCTGATGTCAGGTTTAATGTGAGAAGCTAGCCGAATTTACCATTCATTCATAGGCACTATTTTGAGTCAACTTGAGTTGTATCACCTTTTATCCTAATTTATTGATAGTATCTATTCAGGTCCAGAGTGTATTTTTGTTGAGACAAATATATCTTTACTAGATATAGCAATTTTCATACCAAAGAAATATTAGTGACTGGGGATCTTTCATTTTTCTTTTTGTTTATTAACCTTTACCCAATGGTTAACGGCTAGAATTGTTTTATCAACATAGGTAATATTATGATTTTGATTTTACTTAATGATGATACCTTGACCAATAGAGTTTGATCCGTTTGCCCTTTTGGTTTCCAAGGCTTTCAATAGTAGTGTTTTTGATGTGGGTTTGTCCATTTGAATCGGTTCAAGTTGGGGTTAGGAGGGCTTGCCGGTCCTCCTAGGGTTTGGGGTTGCCACCAAAGTGGGTGGGGCCTCTTCTATTTTACTTGATCTATTTTTATACTATTTGTACTTGTTCTAGGGCATTGTTTTGTTTTCAAATTTCTGGTCCAACTTGCTGACGGTGGCTATTTTCTCTTCTAGGGTTGTATCCGAGGATAGGTGGTGCTCCGGCTGCATTGCTTCAATGTGGTGCTTATCTCTGTGTCTCTCCATACCTTGTCCCTCTTCTTGTTGCCGCCTATATCTCTTGCACCTCTCTGCTCACTAGTGCCAACCTTCTGCCCATTCCTTTGTTGTCGCATATGTTTTGTACCCTTATGCTCTAGCCACCAACCTCCCTCCCGTTGTTTGTCCCTCTATCTAGCTTCTGGCTTTCCACAGCCTACTCCCAACCTGCCGTCCCTCTAGCCAGCAGCCCCTTCACCTACTTGTTGTCGCAATTCCCATAACCATGACTCCTTGTTGCTGCAGCTCCTGCCCACCTCCTTGCTGTAACCCCATCCCTCTACTGTTGGTTGTCGCTCCCTAACCAGCCAACCTAACCACTGTCTAGCTACATCACACCACCTTCACGTCCTCTTGGTGTTTGTTGTCGTTTTAATCTTGTTTTAAGAGTCTGTGTTGTAACCCCTCTTAAGTTTTCAATGATAATATTTGTGCTTCTATTGTGGATTGGGTTAACTTCAATATCAGTTAGTATTAGAGCTAGCCTAACCATAGTCATATCTTAGGGTTTCCTACCATCTATCATACTCAAACCGTCTCCACCAAAATTTCTTCTTTCATACAACCAAATACCCTTTTCACTCCCACAAATCCTAAACCTTAACTATGCCACCAAAGAGATCGTGCCCTAGCCTACTCGGGAAGAGATATAATGAGAGCTCTGTCGTCTTCAACAAAGGCTTGCGTAGATTGATGATGGAATCTAGGAGGAGTTTACCCTCAATCATGATATGGAAAGTCGAATGGGAGAAATGGACGAGGATCTGAATCCCTTCCATAAGGATGACTTTACTGAGGAGGAAGACGGCCCTGACACTTTGGAATTCAGTATTTGAGGAGGCTGAGAGAGGAGGCTACATATGGATGACATAGGGATTTTAGCATTAAAGTGAATCTACTAGAGTTTTATGGAGGTATGAATCCAGATGAATTTATCGAATAACTACAGTTAGTTGAGAGGATCTTCGAGTACATAGGAGTGCTGAAGATGAGGGTAAACCTTGCAACCATCAAATTGAGAAAGAGCGTCTTCTTGTGGTGGAAAAATTTGCAGAGGCAGAGAAAGAGAGAAGGTAGTGACAAGATTATTAGATAGGAGAAGATGAAGAAGGAGATACAAAGGAAATACATACCTTCTCATTATTTTCAGGATATGTTCTTGAGACTCCATCTAAAACAGAGAGACCTATCAGTGGAGGATTTCATAATGTAGTTTGATCAGTTGCAGATGAAGTTTTAGTTGGTTGAGCTAGAGGAATATTCCATAGTCCGATATCTGGGGGGCTCAAAGTTCGCTATCAATAACATTATGCAGCTGCAGTTTTATTTATCACAGGGAGAGATAGTAGAAACAGAGTTGGCAACTACCACTTTGTAGGCAACCACCAGTTGGAGACGTCAATAGCACGCCCTAGGGAGTTAAGAAAACAGGTGAGTATAAGGATAGAGCAACTCCGAGTGAGAAGAAGCCCGAGAAGAGTAGCATGCCTAATACATTCCCAACCCAAAATTGCTTCAGATTCCATGGATTTGGAGTTGACCAATAAAACAAAACACAAAAATGTTGTTGTTGAAACTTCAAAGGAGTCATAATAAAGGTTCTTAAAATAAGAAATCAAGAACACAACACAACGAGCCCCTAGGTAAGGACAAGGATGGTGTATCCAGGTTGGCAAAAGGAGGGGAAAGGGTTTGTGGCATCGACGTAGGCTGTTGGCAGGCTGAGCAACAACAAGGGGTTGATGCAGGCGTGGTTAGCGACAAGTGAGGTCAAGCAAGAAGGTTGGCGGCAAGAGTAGTGGGCGCAGGAAACAGGGGAGGGAGCTGGTGGCTTAACAGAAGGGGAAGTGTGGGATGAAACGAACAACGACAAAGTAGGGAGCTGCGGGTGATGTTCACGGTGACACAACATGTTAGGTGTGGAGTCTGATTGGAGCACCCATGAGCAGTAGGTAATCTGGCTTTGTCATATATAGTGCTCTCGGTGTCTTGGCGCCAAGCTACGGGTGCTCAAACTCCTATTGGGTGTTCCCACATTGAGCAGGTGGAAATCTTGTTCTCACTTCTGGCGCTAGGGCACCGGCTACTCGAGAGCTCGGCGCTTAGGCGCCATGTCTGGGCATCTAGGCGCTCAGAACAGTTAGTAATGGGATTGCAGTTTTTAATCCCTATTTCAAGCCTTTTTATTGAGTTTTGTTGTTTCTTTGTTCTGTATTCTTTGACAAGTATCCCAATGAAGATGTAGAGTGTTGAAGAGGTGAATTTCAGTGATTTGATGTGATTTTTGTGTCATATCTAAAAAGGAATATTATTGGTGCAATTCCTATAAGTTTCTTCACGTGAGTGTGGAGAAGAAACTTGTGTGAGGCTTTTGTAAAATTTTATGAATTACATAGTGAAATTTGTGCTGGTGTGGTTCTGTGATGTTTCCCGATGTCATGTTTTTCCATGTATAATTTTTGTGTGTTTTCTGATTGCTTTAATTGTGCTTCTGTGTTTACTTTTTTGTTCTGATTTTTTTGAATCTTGTGATTCTGCGACAAAATTAAAAAGCAGATTCTTTTGTAGTAGTTTTCTTAACACAATAGGCAGTCACGGGAAAACAGGGAGGAGGGATTGAGTGGGGGCAACGGGTCGTGGTAGTCATCACATTTGAGCAGTATACAGCCGGTGCACCACCTGGCCTCAAATACAACCTTAGCATGGGGAAATGTCGGAGGCTTGGAATACATGATCATAACAGACAAAATTGAACCCTAAGCAAGCAAAAAATAAATATATAATAGCTGATAGAATAGGAAGGGGAGGCCCCTCCCCTTTGGGCAGTCGTTAGGCTCCCTTGGGCGGTAAACCAAATAGGAAAGGGGAGGGAGCGGGCCACCACCAGGCGACCAATGGAAAGGAAAGGAGAAGGAGCAAGCGGCAACTTAAAAAGGAGGTTTGATTGGCTCCCTTATGAACTGGTCGGTTAAGGCACCAAGCTCCGCGTCAATCTCCTGAGGTTAGGGGAGCTTCAACGTCATTCGTCGAAGCTTCTGGGTCCTCGAAGTACGGTGTCAAGTCCGCAACATTGAACGTAGTAGAAACGTTGTACTCCCCTGCCATGTTGATATTGTACGCGTTTTCATTCAGTTTTCGAAGTATTATGAACGGTACACCTGCTCTGGGCTTGAGTTTTTTGAATGCCCCCACTAGAAATTACTCCTTCAGCCGAATCCACATTAGGTATCCTTGAAACGTCACCTTCTTCCTGGACTTATTCGTCTGTGCTTGGTATTTGTGTTCTGCTTAGTAATCCCATTTCCAACCTCCTCATGGAGATTTTGAATCTCGTGAATCTTCAACATTCTCACTGATCTCTGAGGCTGGCAAGAATGGCATCAACTCAAGTGGTGTGAATAGGCTACATCTGTACATAATCTCGAACGGAGTGCGTTCTGTAGTTTGACTCACGGATCTATTGCATGTCAACTCAGCTTGAGCTAGAATTAGATCCCAATAATTAATGCTCTTTCCCATGAAGCTTCTCAGAA